ATTCTATTCTATTCTATTCTATTCTATTCTATTCTATTCTATTCTATGTTCAGAATGGATTTGGCATTTTATCCATCTAACAAGTCCTTCTCAAGGGATAGAGAGAAGTTGATGTTTGATGGCATTAAAGGTATTGTTGTAAGGTAACACTACCTTTTGCAATTGACTCATGATATTTTGTCAATGCCGATAGTATTCAACTGGTGCTTCAGTTGTTTTGGGATTGCACCCAAGGCACTACCTTTGTTTTCTTTTGCCACAATCATTCTGTTTCTATTTCCAGGTGTTTATATTTTGTTAATTTTCTCCAGTTCTTTTTCTTCTATTCTGCAGTCTGCAAGTACTGCAACATCCACCATCTAGACTTTTTTTTATTTTTCTTATCAACAGTTGTTAAGTCTGGGATATTATGTTGCAGGTGCCTATCTCTTTGAATTCTAAAGTCCCAGAGCACCTCAGTTTCTTCATTTTCTATTGCTTTTTCTGTTTTGCTCTTGCCTGTTCTTGCTTGCAGGCAGATGTTATTGTTACTGAGTAAACATAGTGTGATCTGGCGTTTATGCTGGTTATCAGTTTGTGAGAATGAATATTTAGAGACTCCCATTTCCTTCTTAAAGTGGCTCTATTTCATTACATAATATGTGGCATAGCTTTCAATGCAATCTTATAGCTCTACATTAGATGTTATTGCACAGACATGTAATGTTTTCATAGTCCTTATATTAAAAGCTAGAAGCATAAACTGTTTATTATATTATACCTATGCAATATCATTAAGTTGGAAGAAACCACTTTATGTTCCAGCCATTCTGATAAAGAATCTTCTTTGCTCTGTTCCGGTTAACAAATGCAGCTTATCATATCCCACAAATATCCTATTCAGTCTAGATTGCTGTGTGCCACAGGCAGATCTGAGATAGAAATATGTATTTTACCCTGTTTCTCCAACAATACGGCCTCCCCCAATAGGAAGTCCCAGCATGTTTTATAGGCATGAAATGAAATTAAGCCCCTCCCCACAAATTAAGGCCTATATTAAAACATGCGAAATGGGGGGGGGATGGTGGGGGGGGCTTGCCATTAGGAAGTACTTTTGTTGCACACCCGGATATGGTGCTGCCTGCGTTGACCCCGATACGAAGTGCCCCACCAACGCCGAGGTCAACATCCAAGCCGTCGCCGCCCGCCCGAAGATGCAAAGGGGGGGGAATTAAGTCACCCCCCAAAAAGATGGTCTAGCCATTTTTTCGGGGCTCAAAAAAAAATAAGACCCAGCCTTATTATATGAGAAACACGGTACATACATACTTACATACAGACATACAGACATACAACTTGTGGTATTACTAGGTTGATTCCTTCCATGCTAAGAAAGTCAGAAAACAATTAGACCATATTAATAAATTGTATGCAAGAATATCATGACCAAAAAAATGCATTGACTGTATCTTGGCTATACTCAGTATTGAGTTTTGGATTATAGTTGTTTATTATATACTGCAGAATGTGCAGCTGGAAGCAGACAGAGGATAAGAACTGCATTAGGCTGTATTTGGCATCAGAAATGTTGAATTATAATGCTATTTTTGAAGCCTCTGAAACTTGCTAGACAGTTTTCAGTTTTTAAAAACCCACCCAATTTATTATTATTCTCTTTGATAATGTTAAAGTATTCTTGATTGCTTTCCATTGCTATTCTTCATTGCTGTTCTTCATGCACTCACATTATTTAGTTGCATAAGATCAAGCAGTATGTTTTCTAGGAATAACTCCTGGACTTACAAGTCACAGATTTTGTGACCCAGTTTTTGATATTATTCCCATGTTCCCAACCCAGGGTATATCATCAAACTGGCTGGCTTATTTGTATCACAAAAGAATTGACATGATTTCTCTCTCTACTGTGATTTCACCATTTTTCCCAATTGATAATGATATTTTTATATAAATTTTATTAAAAGTTTTAAAGAGAAAATAAAAGTTAACAAAAAGTAATATAATAAAGAAAAGAAATAAAAGAGAAAGACAAACATCCAGAAAAGATAAAACGAAACAGAAGCTTGATTTTGTTTGCAGCAAATACAAATATGATTACAAAATCATCTCTTACTCCATGGTTACAAAAAAAAACCTTATTTTTTATTATATACGTTTTATTCTAATCATCAAAATTACAAGTCATAAGTGCATATTTTCTGTTTTATGCAATAATCTATAAGGGCTTTTTAAAATCTACATTAACCTTAGCTTTCATATCACAGATACATTCCGCTTCTAACTTCAATAGCTACTATTTCTCAGCAGCACAATTTGAATGTATAATTTTAAATCTGGCAGACCCAATCCTCTTATTTCCTTTCCATCTTGAAATATCTTATTTGGGGGGGAGGTGTCCTCTTGCAATACAAATTTAGATACATACTTCTGCCGTTGTTTAAATCAGTGGTTCTTAATCTTTTTGAAAGAATCGCCCCCTTGAGCCATTGAGGAAGTTATCATCGCCCCCCTCCCCCAACATAATCTCTCAATCACAACACAGGGAAATAATTCTTTAATTTATGCAAACACGTTTTTTGTTTTCTTTAAAATTGAAATCAGGACATATTGATGCAAATAATTTATTTCCAGTCTTTTTCCCATATCTCAACTGTGTGAAAAATTCTGATGCCACCCATCACTTTACTCCCAAACTTCGTGATACGTGTATTTCACTATTATCTTATTTATTCAAGACACTTAAATGCAATGACCACTGAAAACAAAATGCAATTGCAAGAAAATGAAATGCCTGAAAAAAACAGTAACATTTAATGATTTAATTATAAGTAAATTTTAAGATGCAAAAAGAACTATAAAAAGGGCATAAGAACACACCGCAGTGCAGGAACTAAGAATTTCAAGATGAAAACTCTGAAACTAAATTAAGATTCGAGGAAAATATATATTCATGCACACTGTAAAAAGGGTTAAAAAGACAGAAAAAAATTTTTTTACAGAAGGAAAGCAACAAAAATCAGAGCAACAAATTTAATGCCTAAACTGAAGAAAATTATATATATATATATATATATATACACACACACACACACACACATACATACACACATACACACACACACACACACACACACACACAAAGTTTACATGAAGAGGACAAAAAAAATTGAAACCATAAAACCGAGAAACCAAAATATAATATCGAACTGGAGTGCACGCTAAAAAAGTACAATTTGCCAAAGAGACACACAAAATGTTTTACAGAGCACAACAAGAATTCTAAAACGAAGCCGAAAACTCAAACTGGAACGTGAAATCCAATGCAAGCAAATACAACGATAAGAGCTGAGACAATTATTAACAAAGAAAATGTATGTACACAAAAAGCAAAAAAAGAACATAAATGGCTGCCTTGTGCTTGGTGAGCTGATGCCAATTTCTTGATGTCTGGAACCATTTTTGTTAATCTCATTCTTAAATCGCCACGCTCAGTGATCTTCAACATGTTCCTTGACTTAGAAAGGATCTGTTGGACGGCGCTGAAGCCCCTCTCCACTAAGTAAGTGGAAGGAAAGGCTAAAAGAAGCAACTCAACTTCCTCCCACAATATTGGGTAAGTGTTCCTCATTTTCACCCAAAAAGCTTCGTAGCCGTAACTCTGAAAATGTGATTGGGCTTCACAGTAGTATTTCAGATGTGTCAGTGGCTCTTGCAGTTTGGGATGAGGTTGTGCAAAGTCTGCTGTGAAAGGATTTAGCACCAAGTGGACACTTCCAGATTTATCAGATCATAGAATCTGGTTTCCATATCTTCTTTTAGTTGCTTCAAGTGGCAGAAAAAAACGTCCAAATCTTCTGCTTGGAGTTGACGTTCATTACCAAGGCTTGGGAACTGATACAGCTCCTAGCGACTCATGTTGCTTGCAAGGAGGTCCAGTTTGGAAATAAATGAGCAGATTATAACTTTGGCCTTAAGAAAATTGATTTTATCTCCTTGCAGCTTTACGTTCACTTCATTCAGCTTGTCAAAAACATCAGCAAGATAAGCTACATCCAGACGTCGAAGTTTAAGAGAACTGCTTAGACTTGGATCAATGGATTCAAGAAATTCGACAACTGTGCCAAAAAATTCGTGGAATCACTGCAAACACTTTCCTTTTGAAAGCCACCTTACTTCAGTGTGCAAAAGGAGACGTTCAAACTTCTCGTCATTTTCTTCACGAAGCTTGTGAAAAAGTCGGTTGTTCAAGGCATTCGACTTAATTTTATTCACAGCGTTAATGACGTAACGTATAGACTCGTGCAAATGGCCACTCAAATTTTTTGAGTCAAGGTGCTGTCTATGAACAATGCAATGGACAGTCATAACTCCAGGTACAAATGATTTTAGATGAGCTTGAAGCCACGATATCGTCCAACCATGGATGCAGCTCTGTCGGTTGCACATGCCACGACGTTTATCAAAGGGATGTTTTTCTCATTAAAAAACTCTTCAACCTTTTTAAATATCGAAGAACCTTTTGTGTCAGTGGCTAAATTTTGAGCAAATAACAGTTCTTCCCTGATCTCTTCATTTCTGTTGATGAAACGGACATAAGCCAATAACAAGGCTTCATTTTCACGAATTGTTGACTCATCAACCTGCATCACGAATTCTGTACTTTTCAAGGTGTCAATAAGCCTTTCTTCCACATCAGCAGCTATTTCATCAATTCTTTTTGATACGGTGTCATTGCTCAAAGGAATCGATTGTGTGACAGTGCTTGCACTGGGCCCCAACATGGTGGCAACAATCTGTTTCACTGCTGGTAAAATCAGCGTTTCTCCGATTGTGTGAGGTTTGACACATTTTGTTATCAACAAAGATACTTCATAGGAACAAATGAGCCCCTTGTCGGCGTTGAGTGATGATTTTCCAAATAACTTCTCAACAGTGCTGCAATCCTCAAACTTGGCCTTTAAGGATTGGAAAAACAATACCGGTTTGTCGGCTTTATCTGAATGAATTCTTACCAAATGATCTTTCAGTCAGGAAGGCTTCATTGCTTCATTTGAAAATGTTTTCTCACAAAGAAGACAAAATGGAAGCTGTACGTTGGAAGGAGATGGAATGAATCCCAATTTTAGGTATTCCGTCGAATATTGGCTACACTTCCTCTTCTCAGCCATGTTGAGAGGTCTTCAAATGAAAGGTACTAACTGCAAATTAAATTTTCGACTGCACTGGAACACTATAAAACACACATTGACGTCGATAAACCTAGTTTCAACAGTTACGTTGACATCATGGGACAGCCACTCAGCATGCGATGTTTCGAAAGAAGCGCTCACCCCTCCATCACTGCCCATTCTGGCCAATGGCATGCCACTGTATGGGTAGAGTGATAGAGGCTGCTGTGCAATGCGCATGAAGATGACCGATGCATATTCACATATGTACGGCGTTCTGTACTGAAGCTAGCTGGAGAAACGTTTTAAAACACAGTTCAATCCACTAATAGTGAGCGATCTGATGTTTTTGTATGACAGATATACAGCGGTTCACTGTACGAAAAAAGTCTCAAAAGTGTCCCCAAAACTTCTCATTCCATTGCCCCCATATCGCCCCCCTTCCGTTCCTTTGCCCCCGCATTGCCCCTTTTCGTTCCATTGCCCCCTGAAAAACAAAATCACCCCATGGGGGGGCGATATCGCCCAGGTTAAGAACCACTGGTTTAAATGAACCATCAATTGTCAAAACAGATACTGCCTGAAACAAAAAGTAACATCCTAGGTAAAACAGGTTAAATCCGTATTAACAATTATTTGTGCTGCCTATGAAATGTAAATCAATTTCACTCATTTTGTAAAATTCTCTCCAAAATCATCTTTTCAAATTTTTAATTAAACAAAAAGTCCAGTTCAAATTATTATAAGTCTTCTCTCCATCTAAAAAGATCAGTGCAGCATGTTTTTCGGTACCTTGTTCCAAATATTCCAAAATATCCAGTACAGTTCTAACTTTATCATTTAACTGTCTTTTAAGTTAAAAAACCATATTGGTCCTCATGACTAAATTCTTGAAAAAATATTTTCAATCTGTAAGCTAAAATAATTATCCACTAATTTTAGTTGTTCCATCAGCAATTAATACAAGGTTGGAATGGAATGCCTTAGTTTCAAATGTTACAAAACTAGAAATTGATATATTATATTCTAGTCTTGCTTATTTGGGTATTTTATATTATGGCCGCTTCTAGAAATGAAATTCCAAGGAACTGATAATTATGCAAATAGTTAAATGTTAAAGGCTAATGTGTTGTATCATTTTTATGAGATAAATTATTGTTTATTACTTTCCTCAGTATATGTCTACACCATCATAGGCAACTCTTTATAGATGTTCTTCAACTCTGTCTTATTAAAGATACAAAGAGGACACCCAAATTGTATTTATATCCATTACTGTGCTTCCTGTTGGTAAAATCTTCTATCATCATTACTCATAAATTTATCTGGATTCTATTAGGAGGGGAAAGATTATATCCCGTTAAATGACTCTCAGAGTTCTGAAGATGATGGCTTCTCCCAGGTGGCTTCATCCATCCAGCAGAATTCTGATGAAGAAGAATTTGACATGAAGATACACTGTCATAATATAGCAGCAAGGTAAGCTGGTACTGGTTTTTGAAAAATATGATAGGAAGTCAGAAGTAGCCAAAAGTCAGCCAATGTTTGAACAAAGATTTTACAAGGATTGCATATCTTTCTCATACTGATAAAACTTTCCTCAACATTACCAGTCACATCTAAAACCTTTCCAATGGGACTTTTTAAATTCTGTTTATTTAAAATAGACTTCACAATTATTTGGATTAGGCTTATTTGTATAATATATATGCAGAGGGCTGCTTTCATAATAAGTCAACAGTAAGCATGTCCTACTTCCTGTAGGACAATGAATATCTTCTCTGTATTACTAAAGATGGCTACCTCAAGCACTAAGAAGGAAACTGCCAATTGAAATTACAAAGTGACAAGACTTATGACACAGAAAAAGAAATTCACTATTTCCAATCAAAGGATTAGATGTTTCTAACGCAAAGAGATTAAGTTTCTATGCTTTTGTTAGAAGATTAGGAAGATTAATCTGAGTTGTGCTGAAAAGATGTATAAAAGTGTCCTAATATAAGAGAAAGGGGATCATGGCAGGGAAAATAATCCTTTGCATGCCAAAAGTATCACATATAATCTTTGGCATCTCTATCCAGTATTAGGTGACAATTGATTTTAATGTATTTTATGGGTACAATTACAGATAGATAATTCAGCATTAGAGGGACAAATAATATGGGTTGGAATACTAAGGCAGATTCTTATATTCCTATATTTTAAAATGAAAATCAGCCTTGGAGGCTGCTATCAAAATGGAAGAATAGCAATGGGAAGAGCCGGGTTTTAAAACTTCTCTCTCTATATTTTTTTTTGCTCTTTCCCTGATAGGCTGGAAAGTTTAAACATGGATAATTCCATGTTGATCTTCCTTTCTTGATCCCAAGCACATTGATTGTATATTTCATAAAAAAGGAGATTGCTGCAAACATAATTATATGATGTACAGGTAGACCTTAGATATGCAATCTGGGGAAAGAATTCCTTCAGCCCAAGCTGATAATTTGCTGCAGAGTTAGTATTTGTAATTAATCCAGGTTGATTCAAAGAAGAACAAAAAAATGAAGGCTACCAGAGCTGAATTCTGTATCTTCTCTGATTTTCCTCTCATAGATATTATAATTGTGTATCTTTCCCTGGCTGTTTGACTGGCGGAAATCAAATACGATGTCCATCCAGATTAAAGACTTTTGAAGAATTTCCTATGACACAAACTATGTATAAAGCTCATCCGGTGAGTAGACAGTTTTAAAGGTAACAAAAGGAAATGCAAAAGCCATTAATTTGTACTTATTTTTCTGCAAAAGTAAAGATGTCTTCAAACTGAGTGACTCCTTTTGAATACATAGAAATATTCAACAATACAAAATGGTAGCCTTGATGGCTTTAGACTCAGCTACTTATAGAGCCATCTCTTTCCTAGCTATTTCTAGTCATCCCACCTGGTCCAATAGAAGAAGCATGGAGTGTCTGCTGGCAGGACTCAAGAGGAAGTCCTTTTCTGCCAGGGCACCTGCCCTGTGGTACATTATACCTGAGATTAGGTTAGCCTTCCACCACTATGTTGGATTTTCACAAGGCCCTAAAAACTGAATTGTGATAAATCCTGTCTCCTGGATTTGTTGACAGTTATTTTATGAAGCTCAGTTGCTATGTGTTTTAATTTTACATTATGTATTTTATTTATCTATTTTATGTAAGATGCCCAGAGTCATGTGAGATTGGTAGCTATGTAAATCAAATAAATAAATTAGCTGGCTATTGCATTCTTCGTGACCTTGATGATGTTTCAACTTCCCAATTTCCTGGGATATCCTAGTGGATTCCACTCTATAAAGCCTTAGTAAGACCACACCTAGAATACTACATCCAGTTTTGGTCACCACACTATAAAAAAGATGTTGAGACTCTAGAAAGAGTGCAGAGATGTTTAGGGGACTGGAGACTAAAACATATGATGAATGGTTGCAGGAACTGAACATGTCTAGTCTAGTGAAGAAAAGGACCAGGGGAGACATTATAGCAGTGTTCCAATATTTGAGGGGCTGCCACAGAGGAGGGGGTCAAGCTATTTTCCAAAGCACCTGAAGGCCAGACAAGTAATAATTAATGGAAACTGAACAAGGAGAGATTCAATCTGAAAACAAGGAGAAATTTTCTGAAAGTGATAGCAATCAACCAATGGAATAGCTTGCCTTCAGAAGTTGTGGGAGCTTCATCACTGGAAGCTTTCAAGAAGAGACTAGACTGCCATCTGTCAGAAATGGTGTTGGGGCTCCTGTTTAGGCCGGGGGCGGAGGGGTTGGACCAGATGGCCTACAAGGTACCTTACAATTCTGTTAATCTGTTAATACAACCAAGATCAGACTGTTTAGCTTTTTCAGAATCAGTCAAGAACAGTTAGGTGCTGCCATCTGCTGTGACAGAAATTTGTACAGTAATCTAAAGATTTATTCAAATTATATATGTGCATGTTTCATTTTCTGCCATAACAAAACACTCACATAAATCGCAACTAGCTTGTGTGAATAGCCAAGAAGCTTTCTAAATAAAGAAGAAAGATATTAACTAGATTTTACATTCAACTAGACACAATCGCACTGATTGGATTTTTAAAAAAGTTACATTTGGGTGAGACACAGCGGAATATAGTATGATTTCAGTGTGGAGAAAGTAAAAACCTCAGGACTCACATCTCCCAATACTCCTTCCTGGTTTGTGAGTAGCATCCCAGTAGACTTTTCCTTCGGCAGACAGTACAATTGAAAATGGGAATGGAAGCATATATGTAACTATTCTCCATTTGTTTGGGGTTCTTTTGTTTGTATTCTGTCTGTATTATTTTTCACAAATAATTCAAGATGCAAACATATCCAGCATCTCTTCCTCCTATTTTCCCCACAAGAACAACACTGTGAGGTGAGTTGGGCTGGACCCAAATCGCCCAACAAGTTTTTATGGCTAATGTGAGACTTGAACTCACAGTCTCCTGCTTTCTAGCCTGATGCCTTAACCTCTAGACCAAACTGGTATACCTATGTTCCCTGGCATACTTGACAGCTACTTGGTTGAGAACATAACCTACATGCAGAGGATTATGCACTAGAATCCATCTTCACCATTTCCATTCTGTAGATGCTTCTCTGGCACCACAAAAATATCTACAGTAAATGCTTTAGTAATGGTGGAAATAGCAAAACATTTCCATGTATGGTGCCTGTCAGTGACAACGCATATGCAGAGATATGTCTATAAATGAATGTGTGTGTGTGTGCACATGTGCATATGTGTGTGTGTGTGCATGTGTGTTCACCTACATACAGAAACCTTGAGACAACAAGGTTTCGCACCAATTTGTAATCTCAAAGCTCCAAAAAAATGGTTCCTTTTAGACAGAGAATTTCAGATTCCCCCCCCCCCCACCTTGCAGGCTTAGCCAAGATAATGTGAACAGAAGAATGATAGGCATTTTCATAAGAAAGGCATGAAAAGTATTTATTCTTTCCAATGCCTATAATTTCTCTCTGGTAATCTGTTGCCACTCTTTATTATTTAGAAAAAAATAAAATAAAATAAAATAAAAATAAATTTAAAAACTATCTTTATCAATGGGTAAGCTTCTCCTCCTTCCTGTTCATCAGTATGTGTATGAAACAATCCACAATGATGAAAAAATGATGGGACATGCATCACAAGTTTACAGTACACTATTCATCATTTGCTCCTTCCCAAATATGCCTCAATTTCCATCAGCAATTATTCTGCCATGTTATAGCAAGTCATTTTTCCATTTCGGCAATTTGGACGCATGTACAGAAAATGTGTTGGCATTTATAGGAATAAATGTTTTCCCCCCTCTTAGATTTGGGAGACTCTGCACTTTTCTGTTTTTTTAAACACAAATTCATTCCATCTTATTTCTCTATAAAGTCTGCACTGAAATTTGTGCTCATTTGCATATGCACAAATATAAAAAGCCACATATCAACAATTATTTTCCCAGTATATAATAGATCCCTAATATATATATATTCTATATATATTCTAATATATATATATATATATATATATATATATATATATATATATATTAGAAAAAGAGAACGGCATTAGCACATGTGCGAAAGTACAAAAAGAAACAGATAATTGCATACTGTATGTGGTTTATGCATTCTGTCCTCCCTTTTAACCATTGCTTCTACTTCTTGCAGGATAATCAGACAGACAGTGGGATGGTTTTGGCATCAGAGGAGTTTGAGAGGATAGAAAACAGGCACAGAAAAGAAGGTGCATTCAGGTACTTCATTATCATGCTCTCCCAAATGATGTTCTCTCTCTTCTCAGTCATTCAAAATGCCCAATGGTGCTTTCTGCCAGTGGACTAGAAGACCCAAAATATATGCTCTCCTGAAAACTGGTGCTTGTGGCAGCACGGCTAAAGGCACCTAAAGCAAAACTTGTGATTGAATGGAATGACTTTTGAAAAGAGCTACAGTATTTGAAATCTGCAAAGAAAGTGAAGAATACTGCTTAAAGGCAACACAGATGGTGTTGCCATTCCTAGGGAAATGGGATGCATTTTCAGTGCTCAGGATAAAAAACCCAAAAGTAAGGATGAACTTTACTTGGGTAATAGCACCCTTGCTGTACCCTTGCAGTGTGATTGTATGCTTGTAACAAACCAATTAGATCATGGGTGTCAAATTCAATTTCATTGAGGGCCGCATCAGGGTTGTGCTTGACCTCGGAGGGCCGGGGGTGGGCATGACCATGGTGGGCATTTGACACAGGCTCAAGATGCATTTTTCCCCTTTGCATTCAAAACAGCTATTGCAGACAAAGGGAGATTTACTTTCTGGCACAAATAGTCTCACTTCCATAATGTAGAAGGTATGAAAGAGAAACAAGTTTAACTTGACAATTGAGAGTGATTTAAAAATAATATGGAAAAAGATCCTACTCTGAACATACAAACTACACTGGCTGATGTCTTAATACTTACAGTAAAAGGGATATACAAATAACAAACCCAGATTATGACCTTGATAATTTTCTTTTCCTTTTTTTAAATAAAGTTTTATTTGGGTTTTCACACATACAAAATACAAGTAAAACATCTTTTTTAAAAATAGCATGGTCCCGGGTTGAACTTCTTTATACAGACACAAAACTCAATTTCATGCTCCTTTTTGTATTCTATTCCATATCTTATACTATTTTACATTTTCTATATAGTTTTTCCCCTCTTTTGATTTTCTCGATTTTAATTTGATTATCTCATCTCAATTAAAATCATTATATTTATACTTTTGTCTGTTCGGTTTCAGTTTCATATTATCTTTTCTCATTAAACAAGTTTTCTCCTGTAGTTACTAATTGGAGTATGACACCTTTATATCTTTTAATTACATCTATTCAACTCTTATTTAAACTTCAATATATACCTTAAGGTTATGACCTTCAATATAATACATAATACATAACTTCCAATCAAATTCTGCTTGGTACATTCTTATAATACACACTATATTCTTTAAAAAGAAAGATTGTAAATATATGTAATTATAAACCCTCATTCCATTCCAGTTCAGTTCTATCATTAATAATCATTAAAATCTTAACATCTTTAACACTTCTTTTCAATTAAATATCATACTTCCTTAAAAACACATATAATCTCCATAATTAATTTTTCCCTTATTTCTCTTCACATATGTTTTATAAATCATTAAATATACCTTTTATTACATTTATTTATTGACAAGCATTCCACTGAATTACGATAGCTATTTTATCAGACATTTTAATCATACATTGTTTCATATTTTCTGAAATTATTTCTGCTTCTAATATAACCATACTATCTTATGTACCTTTGCAGAATCCCTTTTTCCATTAAATTTTCACCCATTATCTCTAAATAGGCCCTGTTTCTCTGTATTTTGTTTCTGTCCTTTATGACTTCTTTTCCTTTCTTCCCTCTCATCTTCTCCCTCCCCTTTTTACCCCCTTGTCTCTCTATTTCTAAATCTCTCTTCTGCATTTCCCTCTTCTGTTGCTTTCTGGTTTTATACTTATTTTTCACTCTATTTTTTTTTTTTTTTTTTGGAGTTGTTTTTCCCAATCTTAAACTTTCCATTCTCTTTCCCCCCTTTCCTTTTTTCCCCCATGTAAGATTACTTGTTCATTAAAGATGGCTTCTTTTTTGTCGCAATCTTCTTGTTCTGCAGGCATTTCTTGTTGTTTCTCATAATTCCAAATCTCCATTTCTAAAAACTGAAATACAAAGCCAAAATAACCTTTCCCTTCTTGTGCATCTTCTTTGTACTTTTTAAGTTCCATTTTCAGTTCTTCTAAAAGTGGAGCCATTTTAGACACTTTTAAACAACCACCCGATTGATTTTAGTCATTCAAAACAATAACCAAGAATCCAGAAATCATCAAGTAATCCAGATAGTCCCGAGTTATATCTTCTTATTTCTTTTTCGACTTTCTCTTCCTGGGGTTTTTGTTGTGATATTTCAGTTAGAATGTATCTTTTGGAAGTCTTGTTGAGATTTTGCTATAAGTTCTTTTTTAATTCCAGGCAGTCTCCTCCTTTCCAGATCCTGCCCTTTTATTCTTCCTCTCTCCTTTCCTGTTTTCAAAAGCTTTTAATTATCCAGAAATCTTTATTATCCCTTTGACTTTTTATTTTCAGCATTAAATGCCTATTGATGTAAAAGTGGATTTTTTTCCAATTTCTTACTTAAGTCGCTTAGCTGTCAGTATAGGAAAAGGAGAAAAAAACCCAAATCTTTTCCCTTTTCTCTCTCCTTCGCAGCTTAAAAATCTTCTTAGGGAACAATGTTATTGTTTTTTAATAGTTTCAATTCCAGGGTACCTTATTTGTTGCTTTTGCTGTTTGACCCGGTCAACCAAAACTTTCTCCTCTTATCTTCCTCCTGCACATTCTTTTCCGGTCGAGTTCTTCTTTGTGGTGGCCATTTCTGACCACAGCTGCAACCGCCTTCGGGAAAGGGAGTAATGGCCAGCTGGGGAGGAGGGTCTCCTCAACCCTGCAGGCAGTCTTCCCCCTCTTCACCACTTTTACGGGGTGGCTTAGCCCCGAAATGAGCCGGCTCGGGGTGCTCCAGCGGCGAGCACGGATCGAAGCCTCGCAGAGACGAGGTTTCAGTCTGTCACTGAAGAAGCTCAAACTGAAAGCCCGACCTTGATAATTTTCTTATATTGGATTTACAAAAAAGGCTTGTTAATGCTTTGAAGAATTTTGTGAGAAGGAACAAAGAAAAAAAGAAAAGAAATCAAATTCTAAGATATTATTTGAAGGGATTAAAGATCAAAATTGTTAAAACTAAAACAAAGCAATATGATGTTGATTTATTTGATCAAAGTAAAAATACATAATTTTTCATTTCCAAACAATTTATTGGTTTTCCTGTTGACTAAAGTGTTGAGGCTTTCAGGACTTATTTATAGATAAGGGATGGGATATGGGAAGAAGAGATCACTGCTTTTATTTTAAGAGATGGTGATACATTACTAAAATTGTTTAGATGGTATTTGTTGTGATACAGAAAAACTGACTGGGCCATTTATGAATAGAATAGGGATTCTTTATCTGCTTATGGAAAAAGTCTGTTTGGAATGTGTGGTTTAAGCATAAGTCTATTCATATGTAGAGATGGCAAGATAATGAATACAAATCTAATGTTATAATTTGATTGACAAAATATGTTTATGATGAAAGTTTGAGAGAATTGGTGAATGATACCAGGCTGATAAAAGCTGCTGAATGTATATATGCCATTTTTTGTAATAGTGTCAACAGTGAATCTTGGGGAAAGTAATAAAATTAAATTAAACAAGTAGAAAGTAGATTGGCTGCAGGAAGGACTCAGTCTTGTATCAAAAATACAAGAAACTGCATTAATCTCCCAACAGTGAATAGTAATATAAGGGCCATGGATATGAAAGCTTCCAGGAGCAGAAATTTGTTTATTTGAAACATTTGTATGGCTATCCAACTTAAACATAACTTTTTGGGTGGCTCACAACAATAAAACCAATACTAAAATCATAAACTATAAAATAAAAAAATCATGAAAAGAATTACATTACAGAATGCCACAGAAATGCATGGAGTTATGATGATGGAAAATGTGCAGGCCATTTGGTGAAACAGATTGCAGCTAAAAATGCTGCATATAAAAGAATTAGCGCTACAAAAAAGGATGAAAGGTATGGTATAATATGGAAAGATTGCACAGCTGTAGTAAAAAGAAAAGAAAATGCAGAATAATTTTGATGGAAAGAATAGAGAATGAAAAAGGCTAAACAAGAAGACTAGTTGGATACATGGAGATAGAGGTAAAACTTATGGCATGTTTATGGAAATAATTTTGATTTGTTGAAGAGTGGAACTTAAAGAAATGCTATAAACCTTATTCTCCAAAAAAGATGAAAATGTAGTCATAAAAGCTGTGAGAATATTGCTTAAGGCTGTAGCTCACATTGATGTAACTGGAAAAATACTCAAGTATAGATTTGGCTTGTTATGGCATGGCTTTAGAAAGATCTTCTTACTTTGTAACCTCTTTTTTTTCTTACTAAATTTATACATCTTCCAGACCAACCCATCTTCAAAATGGTTTGTTCTTATTTTGATCTTTCTGTTGTTCACAAACTTTTTGAGGAAGCTTCAGTTAGAATATATCTTTGTTGGAACTGACTTCCTGGTTTTTTTTTTCTCCAACAGTAGTAAAGGATCCAACCAAAATACAGACCCAACAGTGGATCAATCCAAACCAAGGGGCAGAAGTCAGCCATTATATCAATCAGAGCTCCGAGGTCAGACTTTTTATAATAGTGAATATGGGGAACTATCAGAACAGTCTGAGGAAGGCAACTGCACTCCACCAAATGAAGGCACCAGTCCCTCCCTCCTTCATGCTTCGTTCTTTTCAGACCAATGCTAAAGGGGAAGACAGTCATGGAGACACCTTGCTGAGATCCAGCAACTTCTTCTCTTTGTGTACCAGTGTACCCTTCAGTGAAGATTACATTTCTTGTCCTAGAAGAAACCACAAGGATGATTCTTGTGGAACAGATGGAGAACTCCTTGGTTAGGAAGATGGATGCTATGCCTTTCAACCTAAACACTTTTCTTGCCTTTGACATGAATGAAAATCCTTGCTCCGATGCTCTTTTAAGGAAGAGATCTCAGATGCAGCGTGTGGGATCTGTTTTGAGAGCTTCAATCATTGCTCAGGATTCAGACTCCATTGAAATAGTTTGCCATAACGAGCTTTATTTCAGGTCAGATAAAAATAGATATGTCTTAGCTGAGCAATTTTCCTGATGCAGTTTAGTTTGTTTCTGCTCTTGTTTTTCCCTCTATTAGGAGAGGTGGAATTTTTAAAAAAATAATAATAATGTGGGCAATGGTGAAGCAGCAACATCCCCAAGCTTGGATAATCCTTCACTTGATGTAGACATTCCAATAAACAAGGTGAAACTATATTTAAGTCTTTCATAGACTTATTTCGTTTATATTAGACACTAAAGTAGTCTCCCAGCTTGAATATTTTCCATACTTGCACTGTTTTAGACATGTGGAAATTGCTACAATGCCAAAAGGAAATATTTCATTTGTGTGTGTGCCTTAGGAAATTCAGCAATTTAAGGAGATTTTATTTTCATGGATTAGTTTCACATACTGCAAGAAATTACAGTTTGTTTAACCATTATTTATTGAATAAAATACAACTATCTGAGTTTACATAACATTCCAGGCCTGGTGTGAATTATACCACTTTCACTGAGAAGCAGAAACCAATAAGAGATATGTCTAAAAATAGAGAATGAAATTTTAAAAACTCACAATCCATTTATATGTCCAAATTATGAATCTTTTAAAGTATTCTGTAAAGGATCTATGTCACCTAAACAATCGGCCTTTTTCGGTTTGATGGTTTTGCAACTTCTGTTAAGGGATCAGAAAATTAATGTGATCTATGATCCTACCAAAAAGTTGGTATTGTCCTTGTAAAATCTATATACACTGCTCAAAAAAATAAAGGGAACACAAAAATAAGACATCCTAGATCTGAATGAATGAAATATTCTTATTAAATACTTTGTTCATTACATAGTTGAATGTGCTGACAACAAAATCACACAAAAATTATCAATAGAAATCAAATTTAGCAACCCATGGAGGTCTGGATTTGGAGTTACACTCAAAATTAGAGTGGAAAAAACCACTACATGCTGATCCAACTTTGATGTAATGTCCTTAAAACAAGTCAAAATGAGGCTCAGTAGTGTGTGTGGCCTCCACGTGCCTGTATGACCTCCCTACAATGCCTGGGCATGCTCCTGATGAGGTGGCAGATGGTCTCCTGAGGGATCTCTCCCACACCTGGACTAAAGCATCCCCCAACTCCTGGACAGTCTGTGGTACAACATGGCGTCGGTGGATGGAGTGAGACATGATGTCCCAGATGTGCCCAATTGGATTCAGGTCTGGGGAATGGGTGGGCCAGTTCATAGCATCAATGCCTTCATCTTGCAGGAACTGCTGACACACTCCAGCCACATGAGGTCTAGCTTTGTTGTGCATTAGGAGGAACCCAGGGCCAACCGCACCAGCATATGGTCTCACAAGGGGTCTGAGGATCTCATCTCGGTACCTAATGGCAGTCAGGCTACCTCTGGCGAGCACATGGAGGGCTGTGTGGCCCCCTAAAGAAATGCCACCCCACACTATTACTGACCCACTGCCAAACCGGTCATGCTGGAGGATGTTGCAGGCAGCAGAACGTTCTCCACGGTGTCTCCAGACCCTGTCACATCTGTCATGTACTCAGTGTGAACCTGCTTTCATCTGTGAAGAGCACAGGGCGCCAGTGGCGAATTTGCCAATCTTGATGTTCTCTGGCAAATGCCAAACGTCCTGCACGGTATTGGGCTGTAAACTCAACCCCCACCTGTGGACGTCGGGCCCTCATACCACCCTCATGGAGTCTGTTTCCGACCATTTGAGCAGCCACATGCACATTTGTGGCCCGCTTGGAGGTCATTTTGCAGGGCTCTGGCAATGCTCCTCCTGCCCCTCCTTGCACAAAGGCGGAGGTAGGGGTCCTGATGCTGGACTGTTGCCCTCCTACGGCCTCCTCCACATCTCCTGATGTACAGGCCTGTCTCCTGGTAGCGCCTCCATGCTCTGGACACTACGCTGACAGACACAGCAAACCTTCTTGCCACAGCTCGAGGAGGAGCTGCACTACCTGAGTCACTTGTGTAGGTTGTAGACTCCGTCTCATGCTACCACTAGAGTGAAAGCACCGCCAGCATTCAAAAGTGACCAAACTATCAGCCAGAAAGCATAGGAACTGAGAAGTGGTCTGTGGTCACCACCTGCAGAACCACTCCTTTATTGGGGATGTCTTGCTACCTGCCTATGCTTTCCACCTGTTGTCTATTCCATTTGCACAACAGCATGTGAAATTGATTGTCAATCAGTGTTGCTACCTAAGTGGACAGTTTGATTTCACAGAAGTGTGATTGACTTGGAGTTACATTGTGTTGTTTAAGTGTTCCCTTTATTTTTTTGAGCAATGTATTACTTAAGAACAAGAGATATAGTTCTTGGTTAAGATAATAGAGAAGAATATGGCAGTATTCAGCAGGAATCTGACAAAATTGTATTACTCTCCTCTGTTATTTGTAGGTTTTTCTTTCCTGTTTCTATTCATTTATGTATGATTTCCAAAGTAATATGTCCTATTCCTGAAGAATAATCCAAATTTTACACTCAGAATAAATATTTCAAATATTAATTTATCTAGATTTGTATAATTTGCATAATTTATTCTGATACTAGAATTTGGAAATACCTGAGCATATGCAGGTACTTGCCTGCAATCAAAGACACAAACTTTAGCGCTGCTGAATTTCCTATTTTTATTTGGAAGCTGTTGCTTGGACACTTTTGTTTTCACATTTGTTGAACAGATTTTGTGTTCACATTTGTATGAACAATGCGGATATATCCAATCTGATATGCTTATTCATTATGCCTTACATAATCTGCCAGTCTTCCTATCCATGCTCCAGTTCTGAAGGATATTGCTGTAAGAAAACATTACAAGAATATTAATGAAAGCATTATAAAATGGGTTTTGATCAGCCTATATACTTCCTTTTTGAATCCTGAACAGTCCTTGCTGCCACTTTTGATGGTGTTTCAAAGTCAAATGATTTCTGCTTGCAGGCCAGGCTTCTGTTTAAAAAACTGAATTTTACTTATTTTATTTTCCATTTTGGGCATATTTTTGTAGATAATATATATGTGTGTGTGTGTGTGTGTGTGTATATATATATATATATTTACCATATATATATGTATCTTCCATAAGGCAGTTTTATGCTTTTACTTCCTTGTAACTGTTTTTCTCCTTATCTTTTCTACATCATTTTGTACTTTGTGCAAGTGCACTCAATGATATATTGTTTATTACATTTCTTATGTATACAAGAATATAATTGTGACCTTAATTATTTCCAGAAAATTCAAAATGGAAAGATGGATTTAAACAATACTTTCTGTCAAAGAGATTATAAAATTTAAAATGTCATATAAATGATACATTGGGAAAAACTTAACTGAAGAACTGCAGAATTCCTTCCTGTTAGCTGAATTTCTGCTGAAATAGCTGACAGCATCATAGAACAGATTCATTTCAAACACTGTGATATCCACATGCAAATAAAGATTCCTATATTTCCTGTTCATAACTTGCATGCAAAAACACTCCCATAATGTTATAACTCTAATCTGATTTCCTCTTTCAGTTTGTAGTGGGAAGCAGAAAAAATGATACTACAGCTCCTTCATTAGCTGAATATGGTGTCTCTTCAAAATGTACATATGAGGGATATTTTGAAATTACTGAGCTAGATGCTTTTTCAGCATTCATTTGCAGCTTATGTTATTGGCATTGTTCCACCTAATTTTAAATGGTGATTTATTTGGGATCAAGTCATTTGAAATTTTCAACTAGCCAGTGTAATTATTTGAAAATTCTCCAAGGTAGAAAATCACTTTGTAAATGATGACCCTCACTTAGCTTTTTAGACCTCTTTCTATGTAATGTTAGATTATTGTTTGTTTTAGAATACAATACTGTGTATATCTATACAACATACACATGCACACCAAGATACAACACTTTTGAGACGCAAAAACATTGCAGAAAATATTGAAGAGCATTCTAAACCCAAGATGTCATGCATGACTGCCAAACTTTACTTTTTATCTGAAATTTACATTGATTTTAAAAAAATCATTATAAGAAAAATGGAGGGAGTTGGTACACTGTATTTCCAAAATGCATTCATAGACACATGGGCAACCAGAAAAATTTAGCCTGTAATTAAATTGCTTTGTCTAGAAGCAAATACTGCCCCCCCCCCCAAAAGGGAAGGAGATAATAGAGACTTTAAGGAAATATGCCATTTTGCACAATTAAGGAGAATTCTGATAAATTGGGAATCTGTAACAGTTATGTCCTTTATTACAATCAATTTGTGAGCAAAGAAGCAGAGTATACACAACACAATATTTTCAAAGTTCCTTATGTGCTCACCAACTCCCTACCCCATAGGGACCCCTTTTCTTGTCTGTGGCACATAGTTAATACAAAGTTTGAGCTGACCCTAATTCATTACTCTTCAATTTTCCCCCACTGTGTACTAACAGTGTGATTATGAACATACCCCTTTTTTGGAGAAGAAGAAGAAAGAAAAAGAAAGAGAGAGAGAGAGAGAGAGAGAGATCATGATTTCACTAGGCTTGTATAGTACCCAAATGAGGGGGATTTGTTGGAGCCCTGACACTAATTATGTCTGACTTTAAGTAGTTTGCAGGTCTCCAATAATAATAAAGTCAAAAATGGGGGCGGGATCTCAATACAACAATATAGAATATTCAAATACCGAGAAACTACTGTAACTCATATCTGTTTATTCTCCAGAGGGACAAAAATCCTACATCCTCCCTGATGCAGTTGATTAATCTAACTTTGCTTTATCCAATTTGTAGTGCAACATGCAATTAGGCGCAGATACATTGACTCCCAAGCAGGACTTCTGTCTCAGAATAGTAACTCATTAAAACACAATTATAAAAATGAAAGTATGCAGAGATTACCAAAAGTAAGATAGAGTTCATCTTTTCTTTACATTTATTATTTTTGTTACAGTTATAATTCTATTCAAATTCTCACGCTCTACAATTTTTTACATTATATACACACAACCATTGCAGCGTCCCCATAGTCACATGATCGAAATTCAGATGCTTGGCAGCTGGTTCCTGCTTAGGATGGTTGCAGTGTCCCAGGGTCACATGATCACCTTTTGCGACCTTCTGACAAGCAAAGTCAATGGGGAAGCCAGATTCACTTAAGAACTTAACTGCAGTGATTCGCTTAACTGCGGCAAAAATGAAGCAAACTTCACTTAACTGTCTAACTTAACAACAGAAATTTTGGGCTCAATTGTGGTCATAAGTCAAGGACTATCTGTATTAGGCCTGAGACTATCCAAGACCTGAAATGAAATAACTTTTTTCTCATGAAACCCCAGTCCACAATCTAAAACTTTTATTTTAATAGAACACAAAGACCAACCTAAGAGTATTCTGTATTTACTTCCATATGTAAATAGGAATTCAACAATAATTATTCAGAGTTATAAACAAGATTAACTCTGCAATAATAGAATGATTTTAGAGATGTAGTGCCATGATGTCCTTATGGGAAATCTTGCAAAGCTGCTTTCAAAAAGTTGATGTATCCTATACTTTTAGCTTTCCTTGGCCAGAATTCTGACATCTATTTATGCATTCTGAAGCACGTGTTCAACTCAATCTACACTTTCGCCAGAGATGCAGCAAGCCAGCTTTGCCCAAGTATGTTTTCACAAGGAAATCCAAATTATTAATTAAAAATAAAAGTCTTCATTTAGAAAACTATACAGGATTTCACCC